GTGTGCGTGGGTGTGGGTGGGTGGGTGTGGGTGGGTGGGTGGGTGTGGTGTGGGTGTGCTTGCGTGTGCCCAATCACTGCACCACACAAACCGCGCACACACACATGCATATACTCACGCACAAAACCACACGCACGGACGACGTACCTTCTTCTTGTTCTTGTTCTTGCTCTTCTTCCTGCTCTTTTCTGTGCCATCATCGCCTTCCGCCTTCTCTGCAGCCGCTGTTGGCTTCTTTGTCTCAACCGTCACCCACCCGTGTGGATTTGCTGGTGCCGCTGTCTCCGCTGCCTTCTGGTCTTCATCGCCACCGCTCTCTTTCTTCGCATCTTCTACCCCTTCCTTTGTCCCGTCACCGAGACCAGCTTCATCTCCTTCCTTCTTCTTCTCCTTCTCATCCACTGCTGCTGCCCCTTCAGTTCCGTTACCACCCTTGCTTGCGTCACTGCCACCCTTGCTTGCGCCACTGGCTGCTTCCACAAATTCGGCTGGCCGCGCCCACGTCGACACTGTGTTGAATGCACAGATGAAGGTGAATCTGTGTGAGGCGCTGTGTGTGTGTGTGTGCTTGTGTTGTGTGTGTGTGTGTGTGTGTGTGTGTGTGTGCTTGTGTTGTGTGTGGGTGGGTGTGTGGGTGTGTGGTGTGCAGAAAAGACAAGCCCAACAAGGCTAATGCGCCAACTGTAGCGCCAAACGATCAGCCAAACAAAAACAAGGAACAATCACACCCTGTTTGCACATCTACAGCATTGCCAACCTTTGGTGTTGACGTTGTAGTAGTAGTACATGCCGTTGCCAGCATCGCACTTCATCCATCCATTTGGGTCTTGATAGAATTGGCCTGGGCAGACCCAACACGGCAGAGAGAGCGAAAGAAAGGGTGTGACATATGCATTCAAGATAGTCTTTGGTGCCTTGAAAGCAGCAAATGCACGTGCGCACTTCTAATCACGAGCACAATCGAGCAGAGGCTGCACCCACACACCGTATTGCAGTGTTGATGCTGTTGTTGTCGTTGCTGTTGTTGCTGTTGCTGTCGTTGTTGTTGTTGCTGCTGTTGTTGTCGCTGCTGTTGCAGAAGTGCTCGCCTTGGCCATTGATTCATCCGCATCAAGACGGCTCAGCGTGCTCTTCCACTGCTGCTGCTGCTGCTGCTGCTGCTGCTCGGGCTGCGGCTTGCTTGCTTCTGACGCTGCCATAAAGGCTGTCACAAGGGTGGTGGTTACATGCATAGAAGCATGTCGTGAGATACAACAGAAGTCCTGCCCAACTCACACAGGCTTCGCACACACACACACACACATACATACACACACACATACACACACAACCTACACGCGCACGCATTCACAGTGCAAGGCTGGGCATCTTCGTGAGCACATATATGTATGTGAGGTTGCGTGCATGGACGCACCAGCACGGTCTTTTGCGGAGATGGACGCAAGGGAGGTGTCCTTTAGCAGGTTTGGATTGCTATGCATGCTCTGGCCCAAGGACTTCAGTGCATCCTACGCGTGCGTGGAGGAGAACGCACATGTGAGTGGGATGAGATGGTGGACACATTCAGTGGACACATTCAGTGCAGTGCACAGCCACGAGGCCATGTTCAGGTCACAGGAAGGTCGGCAATGGTACGTTGCCACGCGTACCTGCTTTGCCTGGTCCAGCATCTTCTTCAAGGACGACTCATCCTTCTGTCGCTTGACAAAGTTTTGCCGGCTCTGTGCTCCATCACAAGCGCGCAAGCCCAGGAGTAAGGTTCCAGTGGTGCACGTGCAGGTGCGCTGGAACAAACATCAAAAGAGAAACAACAAGTACACGGCGGTTGCGCACCTCTTTCAGCCTCTGAGCAACGTTTTCCTTGTGTCGCTTCCCAGACTCGTGGAATTCAATACTCTACGGATGTGCGGGTGAGCAAGTGTGAGTGCGTTTGCGTGTGTTGTGTGTGAATGAGTGAGTGTGTTTGTATGTTTTGCGGGTATGTGTGCGCGATTGCGTGTATGCGTGTGTGTATGTTGAACACGCACATGTGTGTGAAAAGGTATGTCATGGGTTGGCACGCGACGTGCGCGCGAAAACAGAAGCAAAGTGGGGGCCCACAACGACAACCGACCACTTTGTTGTCTGCGAACCAGCAGTTGCAGTACTCGCAGAACTTGCGAGGATTGCTCTTCCAGAAGCTCGCCCTAGCATGCAAACACATACACACACACAAACACATACACACACAAACACACACACACACAAACACACACACACAAACACGTGCACGCTATGTGAGGGAAGAAGCCATGCTGGCCAAGAAGGAAGGCAAAGAGAGGCAGCTGATGTATGTGGAACAGGCTCGGCAAGAGTCGCGCTGAACAACAGACGTTCGTCCCCACGCACATCTTCGTTGCTTGTCGTCCTTGTGTCGCAGAAATTCAGCAAATGATATTCACAAATGCTCCAAACTTCACCTCTGCCACTGCCACACACACACACAGCAAACACACACACACACACACACACACACACACACACACACACACACACACACACACACACACACACACACACACACACACACACACACAGAGCAAACACACACACACACACACAGAGCAAACACATAACATGGATTACAGGCTACGACTGCGTGTGCCGTTCGCAAGTGCCCAAGATGCGAGCATTGCATTGAACACACTTGTTGTGGACAAGGAACCCAAGCCAGATATCTGCAGGCGAACCATGGACGTCCAAGACAACACACTCCTCGTGTAAGTTGCATGCAAGAGAGTGTGTGCTTGCGGCTCTCTGAACCACGTGTGCATGTGTGTGTGTCTCTCTGTGTGTGTCTCTCTGCGTGTATGTGCCCGCAAGCAAGTGTACATGCATACGTGTGTGTTTGTATGCACGCCCATGCTTCCGCCCTTTTCTCATGATCGCTTCTCCATATTTTTATGTTCTCCAGAACCTTTGAAGCAACGGAACTGCGAACGCTACGCGTGGCCTCAGCATGGTTCATGGACATGCTGCAGCTCACATGTGAAACCATCGATGCCTTCTCTCTTCCCGCGTGACTTGGCGTGGTGTGACTTGTTGGAAAAGAAAGGCACGTGTTGATTTCTGTTCAGGGGTTGTGATGCGGTATTGTAACTGATTGCTGTGCGATTGCGAACAAGAGAGCAAGCAAGCACGCTCACATGGTGGGTGCGGCTTGTGGAAAGACTCAGTGACAATTGTGGAAAGACTCAATGACAAGTAAAAGCTCAACCAGCATCTATCAGACAGAACAGCATTCAAGCAATTTTCCTATGCAAGCAGCGACTACATCGATTACACCACCAACAAGTCAAAGAAGGGTCAAATAGTGACACACACGCACACACAACAAACGCAAAGTAAATGTACTCACACACACACGCACACACGCATGCACACATACTCACACACAGAGTCACTTTTGTGAGGATAAGTTAAAGGTGACGTCGGTAAGGGTGGCCGAGTCGTGAAGGAGGGCCAAGTGGAGCAACGCTCCGTTCCAGAACACGCCCCACTGACCCTGGTTGCGTGCAAGCATGGCGGGTAGAAGCACCATGGGCGGCACGACAAACAGGAGGACGGGCTGCGCGGCGCGGAAGAGGGCAGACGCGTACATGGCTGCGAAGAGACCGGCGGCATATCCGACGATGGCGCGCGGGAAGAGGCGGTGCCACAGGTGGTACACGCGCGCGCGTATTGCACGCGAGGCCGCTGCTGGGGCCGGGCCCGGGGACGGCGGATGCAGGCGGGACAGCACGGCATCGCAGCGCAGACAGTACACTGCACGTGACAGCGGCAGGGAGAGGGTGAAATTGGAAGAGTCGGGGTTGGAGTGCAAACGGGGCAAGTGTGACGGGAGTGTGTGTGGCTAGAAAAGGGGCAACAAAGCCTGCGCACATGTAACATGAACACATATGCACAGCCTCTCCACGGCAATAAGCACACAGATCCTACACACACATAACATGAACACGCATGCATAATCAACACAGCAGGTCACGCCGCATCACATCAGCACGCGCACCGGCAAAGAGGGCGGGGAGGACAATGTCAGCCAGGCCAAGGACAGCCGTCGCGTGTGTGAGCTCGACACTCGGCACATGGAGGGTGATGGGCACGGAGACGGGTGGGAGGTTCAGGCGGAACCCCGTCGTGTGAAGCAACCAGGACAGCGGGTTGGTCGCGTGCTGCCATGCAACGTCCTGTGGCGTGTGCGCGCGTATGTGTGTGTGTGTGTGTGTGTGTGTGACACAAACTTCGACAAAGACGTACATGTCCACAACACTTGTAATTGGTGTTTGTTGACATGAAGGGGCTGTTGAGTGCGTGCCCGGATTTGATATTCATGTCCACGAACACAAGCAGTAATTCACCAACGCACGTACAGACACAAAACGCATTCACAGCCACTTTAACACACAAACACACACACACACACACACACACACACACACACACACACACACACACACACACACACACACACACACACACACACACACACACACACACACACACGACTGCACAAGTGCGCGCACCGCCATGACGTTGTCGTGGACAAAGAACGGGAGGATGAGGACCCAGAACGCGTCGTAAAGCAGAAAGCCGACGAGCAAGAACGTGGCGCTACGGGCGCTTGGCAGCCGAACGCTGTCAATCAAGGCGACGGCGGTGCTCATGGCGAGCGCGTCTGTGTACGCCCAGTGTGCTGTCGTCAGCCACCGAGCCACCACGAACACAGTCGCCACAAAGGTCCCCACGAAGGATAACTGCGCATCACAGGTGAAGGAAGTGAGTGAGTGAGAAAAAGTGAGTGCATCTGTCTATCTGTCAGCTTGTGTGTGTGTGTGTGTGTCTGTGTGTGTGTGTGTGTACGTACGTGTGTGTGTCTGTCTGTCTGTCTGTGTGTCTGTGTGAGTGTGTGTGTCTGTGTGTCTGTGTGTCTGTGTGTCTCTGTGTGTCTGTGTGTCTGTGTGTCTGTGTGTGTCTGTGTGTGTGCGAGTGCGTCTGTGTCTGTCTGTCAGTCTGTCAATCTGTCTGTCTGTGTCCGTCTGTCTGTGTAAAGAGAGGGCGCTTTGAAAGGGCATGGTGGACGAAGGAGCTGCATATCCCCACGGTGATATTAGCCGTCATACATCAACACGATTGGGGTACCGTACCAAGCTGCCGTGCGTGTGGTGGGAGCCGAAACACCGACGCTCGATCCAGCGAAAGGGGGGATGCGCCACGGAGAAGAAGCTGCTCCCAGCCATGATGGTCAGCCCAATCATGAGAAACATCTGTCAAACAAGTTCATGTAAGACCGCAAGTATTGCACACATACAAATGCATACGTGCGTGTACACACACAGACACGCACACAAAATTGCACAGACACACACACACACACACACACACACACACACGCACACACAGCCACACAGCCACACACACACACACTGCCACACAGCCACACACACACGCACACTCACTCACTCACTCACTCACTCACACAAACACACACTCACTCACTCACTCACTCACTCACTCACTCACTCACTCACTCACTCACTCACTCACTCACTCACTCACTCACTCACTCACTCACCCACTCACTCACACACTCACTCGCTCACTCACTCACTCACTCACTTACTCACTCACTCACTCACTCACTCACTTACACACAAGTAAGTGCACACCTCAAAGTATCGGAAGAAGTAGCGATAAGCGAGGAGCACAAATGATCCAAAGACCGGCAAAGCAACCGCCTGAATCCATGATGCGGCGCCACTGCCGCCGCCGCTGCTGCCGATGCTGTTACCATCAGCATCGTGACTGCCCCCACGAGTGCTGCCATCACTGCCGGGCCGTGTGCTTGTCGCAGAGCCTTTGGGGACACGCAGTGGCATGACTGGACGTGAAATCACGGCACAGCGCAACGCCTGCTGCTTCACATGCACACACACACATGTGCACACACATGTGCACACATGCACACACACACTTTAACACACACACGCACACACACACACACACACACACACTGTACACACATGCACACACACACACACTCTCTCTCATGCACAGACCGTGGTCGTGGAGGGCTGTGGACGCAGAGGCGGCGTGGCGTGCGCCATACACGACGGTGAGCGTTGCCAGCAGGTTCATGCCCATGGACGCGCTATCCGTCAGGCACTCCACCAGATCTGTGACGATGAAGGCCATCCCTGCCGCCCAACATCAAAACAACACTGGGGTGCACCTCACTTCGATAACCGTTGCTGCGGTTGTTGGCTTCTTGCTTGCTTGCTTCTTCTTCTTGTTGTTGTGTGTGTGATTTTCGCCGCTGCTGACTGTGCTGGTGATGATGGAGGGTGCAGATGCAGGTGTGTGTTGTGAACGTGTGCATGCGTGCGTGTGGATGGCATGCTTGCTTGCCTGCTTGCTTGCTTGCTTGTGTGCTTGCTTGTACTCGTTTGCTCACGCGCGCGCGCACACGCACACACACACACACTCTCTCTCTCTGCTCTTATTGTTCTTTGTCCGCTATCAAGTGTGTCGCATCTGTAGGGACACGGCGGAGCCAGACCGGCCGCTGTACCACCCATGCAAGTGTGCGGGCAGCATCAAATACGTTCATCAGGACTGGTAACACGCACCTCCCGCATGCATGTAAACTCGCACACGCGCCCGCTAAACTCACGCACACATGTCACTCATGACCGCTCAGCTTTCCGCTCACACTCGAACAACAACCCTATCCCTATGTCCATTGTCACCACTATCTTCAGCTTAAAGGCTTGGCTCGAGCAAAGCGGAACTAGGTGTGTGTGTGTGTCTGTGTCTGTGTCTGTGTGTCTGTGTGTGTTCTGCTGGTCACGATGCTTCAATAGTTACCCCTCCCTCTCCTTGAGCTCACGTTTTGTGTCATGCTGCTTGTCCTTGCTATGCTTGCCTTTCGCTGTGCACGCTGTTGCTGCTGTTGCTGATCCTATTGCTGCACAGGGCATGTGAGCTGTGTGGCCACACGTTTATGTTCACGCCGATCCTCCGGGATGGATCACAGCAAGGAACACCGTTGGCAGATGTATTGCTAGGCTTGGTTGAGCAGGCGCGCCCCGCTGTGCAGACGTGGGGGCGGCGCATGCTCGTCACCATGGTCTGGATCTGGGCGCTGCCCATTGTGGCGCGGTGGAGCTTCCGCTTCCACTTTGAGGAGTGGTCCCTCCCTTGGGATGAAGACGAGCCACTCAGGTCAGTCCTGGCCCCACTTTGGCTCAGGCTCGCGTGCTGTCATTCCCGTGCGCTACTTGCTCTGAGTTACAGCTCTCTGGTTGCATCTGTCGGCATGGCTTTGCGAGGGACACGGTCCCAATCCACACTTGCCATCGATGTCTTCGATTGCAGCCAACGAGTCTCGCACGGCACATTTGCGCCCTCACAACACCCTCTTTGCATGCGTGCACGCACCGACACATCTTCAGGCATAAATAAGCACACACACACATGTTCACACATCATCGACACGCACTCACACGCTGTTCCTGGCGCTGCAGACAACTTGGAATGGATTGGTTCATGGGCGCGGTCATCTGCTTGTCCATTGTCGGTGTTCTCTTCTCCATTCTCATGTACCGCGACTTTATCATCATGCAGTTCAATGATCCAGACCCTTTTGCATACGTGAGGACCCACACACTCGCCTGTCTGTCTGCCTGTCTGCCGGTCTGTCTGTCTGTCTGTGCGCTTGCACGCCTCTGCGTCTGTTTGTCCGCCTGCCTGCACGATCACTTACGCGCTTGTGTGCCTGCGAACTAACTCTTCCACGTGCTTCCGCGCATGTGTCTCAACCTGCTTGTGCCTGGCGTGCCTCCCTCTGCAGCCAACCCCTTTGGAAGTGCAAGCACACTTCAACCCACCCCCCGAAGTCAACCAGAGAGACGAAGACGAGGACGAGGAAGAAGAAGAAGAGGGAGGTGGACGGCACGAGTGGCCCGAGCTGGTGGATGAATACGGCGTCGAGTCCCGCGACGACCTCCTCGAGCTCCTCCAAAGTGCGTGTGCGTGTGTGCGTGTGTGCGTGTGTGTGGGTGGGTGTGGGTGTGTGTGGATGTGTGCGTGTGTCTGTGTGCTTGTCTGTGTGCTTGTGTGTGTGCGTGTGTGTCTGTGTGCGTGTGCTTGTGTGTGTGTTTGTGTGTGTGTTTGTGTGTGTGTGTCTGTGTGCTTGTGCTTGTGTGTGTGTTTGTGTGTGTGTGTGTGTCTGTCTGTCTGTCTGTCTGTCTGTCTCCGGTTGTACGTGTGTTGTCCAATCTTTCTTGCCTTCTCTGGCCTTTGTGCCTTGTCTTGCTGTGTGTTGTGCTGCAATTCATCCGTTACCTGCACCTCATCGCAACCCACCGCTCCTCACCGCCATGCTTGCTGGCCTGACAGACCAACTCACCCCGCAACACCAGCCAGCTGGGTACGAAGGGGAAGGCGATGGCGGAGATGGGGGTGAGGGTGCAGCCACAACTGCTGCCGCAGGCGCCACCGCTGAACCTGCTGCACATGCGCGAGGACCAGCAGCTGCTGATGTGCGGGAAGCTGCCGGGGAGGAGCATATGGACGACCCCGTGCCTCATGAAGGCGCAGCAATGCCAGCAGGATACAGCACGCCCCGTGATGACGATGACGATGATGATGATGACGATGACGATGATGATGACGATGACGATGATGATGATGACGTGCTTGTGGTGGATGGTGATGAGGGCGATGAAGAGGAAGACGAGGAAGGTGTTGCTGTCGATGGTGATCACGGGCACGCTGTTGAGGAGGAGGAGGAGGAGGAGGAGGAGGAGGAGGAGGAGGAGGAGGAGGAGGAGGAACGTGCTGCTGACGCGGACGGGTTGGACGTTGATGAACTGCTTGCGCCAGACCAAGCAGGTGCCCCCGCACTTGACGACTGGGACGAAAACGAGTTTGACCTTGACGAGGACCTGGTGTTGCTGGAGCAGCTTGGCTTCCACGGCCCCATCCGCCGCCTCTTCGACTCCTTCCTCTGGATCGTCTTCGCCCTGAACATGCTCCTCTTCATCTTGGGCTTTGTGCCCCTCTCTGTGGGCGCAACCGTGCTGTGGTCCCTGCCAAGCACCACCCCCAGCCCGCTCGCTGCCCTTGCCGTTGGGTACGTGATTGTCGCGTCTGCGGCCGGCGTGCTTCTCGCGCAGGCCTCGCCCTCCGCCATTGTTATGACGCACCGCGTCGGAGGTTTTCTCCTCAAGTACATCAAGGTGCAGCATACGCATGTGTGCGTGGGGGGTTGGGGTGCGTGTGCGTGTGGGTGTATGTGGATAGGTATGTGAGCGAGCCTGTGCCCATGATTTTGTGGGTGTATATGTGGGTGTGGGTGAGGGTGTGTGAATGTCTCTTGTTCCCTTTTCGTGCCTGCATGTACGTGTTTTCCACACTCGCCTGCCATAACTGGTTTGTGCGCCCCCCTCATCCGATCATGGTGTGCTGCTGCAGGTGTACACGTGCATGTGCCTTGAGCTGGGCGTGCTGCCAGCGGTCGTTGGCGGCGTTATCGACATTGCCTCGCTTCCTCTTCAAGGCTCGACGCTGCAGGACCACCTTGGTTATCTTCGATCATCCACCTTGTAAGCGAGCAACAAACGCCTGTGGCCTTGGTAGTAGCATTGGTACCAGGGACACTGTGTTGTCGCTTCGTGTCCACACCTCATCCTGAGGCCATTCTCTGCCCACGATTGACTTTGTCGCCCTTACACGCGCGTGCGCTGTCCGCGCGTGCAACATGTAACTCCTCACAATCTCCTCTCCACTCCGACCGTTACCACACGGCCCGCACACCACACCCTGCACGCACACCAGCACGTTCCTGTTGGCGCTGGCTGTTGTTGGCATTCTCTTCATGCAGATCTTCTCCCTCTGTGTTCTCGCCATGCGCGACGTCCTCAACCCTGGCGTCCTCTGGGTCAGTGCCGGCGTGTCTCGGTTTGTGTGTCGTTTTGTGTGTCTGTGTATGCACCTGTCTATGTACGTGCATCGTGCGTGCGTGTGTGTGTGTGTTTGTGTGTGTGCGTGTGTGTGTGTACCTGTCTGTCTGTCCATGTACCTGTGTGTGTGTGCGTGTGTGTGTGTGTGTGTGTGTTTCCTGTTGTGTCTGGTTCTATCTCTGGCTGTCTGCATCTGTTGCCGTCTCTCTGGTCGTGCCGCCATCCTCTCTCACGCCGTCCCCCTGCCCTCGCCTTCCTATCTCTCCGTGCAGTTCTTCCGCGATCCAACAGAACCCGGCTTCCACCCGTTCATTCCGCTCAGCAACAACTCCATATGGAAGAGCCTTCTCCGCGTAGTTGTTGTAGCGGGGATGTACGTGCTCACCGCTGTGTTTGCGGTGTGGCTGCCCACGTGTCTGCTGACCGCGGCCACGCCGTCCATTGCACCGCTGCACCTCCTTGTGCGCCACCCGGCCGAGTTCATCGCCTTCATGTGGATCCTTCCAAAGCTCCTCGTGCGTTCAGATCGTGTGTGTGCGTATGTGTGTGTGTGTGTGTGTGTGCGTGGGTATGGATGGGTGTAGATGGGTGTGGGGGGGCGTGGGCGTGTGAAGGGAGAAGGGGGTGCGTTCCTGCTCCCTCTTTGCGCCTCTGCAGTCGCTGTGCAAGTGCGTTTGGATGTGTCTGGTGTTGGGTTGATTCGAAGTTGGATGTGTAATTGCCCGGCTGCGCATGCGCTTGGCTCGCGCCTCATTCCCCGCACTGTGGCTACTGGTGGCCCCCGCACACGTGCGCTTGTGGTTGCTGGTGCGCTTTTGTTCCATCAGGACTCGGAGGACTTGCCACGCACGCTCATCGCCGCCTTTGTGCGCTGGGTCGAGATTGTCAGTCCGTTTTTTGGCCTGCGCGACGCACTGCTGCCTCCACCGGTTCGTGCCCATGTATCTGTGTGTGTGTGTTGTGTGTGTGTGTGTGTGTGTGTGTCTGCGTGTGTGTGTGTGTGCATGAATGCATGATTGCATGAATGCATGGGGGTGACTATCCAGTGTGCTGGTTTGCGCTCAAGGACATCGCATTTGGTTGAACGCTCGCACTTTGCCCATTCCTCCCCCCCCCCTCCACCCTTCTCGTGTACGCTTGTGTGTGTGTGTGTGTGTGTGTGTGTGTGTGTGTGTGTGTGTGTGTGTGTGTGTGTGTGTGTGTGTGTGTGTGTGTAGGGGACGCGACGTGAGGATCTGGCGCCCGTTGACAATTCGCAGCTGCTCAAGTACACAACCCACGGTCTGGTGCGCGGTCTCCTCTTCACGCTGACCGGCCTCACCTCGCTTGGCGTTGCCATCTTCTGCTGCATCTCCGGCCCAATTGCTCTTGGCAGATCAATCCTTGCCCGCGCCACTGTCGTTCACGTATGTCGCACGCGTGTTGTGTGTGTGTGTGTGTGTTGTGTATGTGCGTGTGTATGTATGTATTGCGTATGTATGTGTATGTATGTGTTGTGTGTGTGTGTGCATTGCGGTGTGTGCCCATATTTGGGCGCGCTTCCATGAGCGCGACCTCCCCACGCTTTCTCACACGATCCTTTTGCTCCATCCACGCCACAGCTGCACGATGGCCTGGCTTTCTACGCCGGTCTTATGGCTGTGCGCATGCTGCTGTCCTTCGGTCGGAGGACACGGCGCACGCTTCGGCAGAGCATTGGTCGTATTATCGCCACGGTCGAACGTCGGGTCGTCAGGACTTACAGGGTTGGTGGCATCCTCTTCCCCAAACACCCGCCCCCCCCCCTTCTCTTTGTGCCTCCCTGCTTATTGCGGGGCTTGCGTTGTCAGCTTGCTGCTTCCTCTGCTTGGTTGCACATACCTTTCTCTTCTTTCCCCCGTGCTGCGTATGAGCGCACCCCTTGCTGACTGACTGTCGTGTTGCTGACTGTGGTGCTGGCGTTGTTATGCTGCATCCCCCCCCCCTTGCCCTTTTTTTTTTTCAGAAACTCGTCATCATTCTGGTTCTCCACGTTGGAATTCCCGTGACTATCGGCTGCTTGCTTATCCAGCCCGTCGTTCGCGCCTTCCTCGAGAATGAGCGCGTCTCGATGCTCCACTGTACGTCTGTTTTGTTTCCATGTGCTGCCTGTCCCAACCCCCTGGCGTAGACGCGAGCTGCCAGTCTACCTTCGTGTTCTTCTGTGTAACTTGTGTCAGTGTCTGTGTCTGCATCTGCGACTGTGTGTGCGTCTGCCTGTTTCTGTGTGTGTGTGTGTGCGTGTGCGCGCGCGCGTCTGCGTTTTGTTTCTCCTTGCACACGTTATTTGGTGCTTTGCCTTCACGCGAATCTTTGTATGATTGTGGTTGCAGGGATGCCACTGTACTGGGCTGAGGGGTACATCACGTGCGCCGTCATTCCCGTGCTGACCATTGGCGCCAACTTGACCGACGAGCAGAATCACATATTCGCGCACGGGCGCACGCGCACGCGATTCCGGGCAACCCTCAAGTGTGAGTGCTTGTGTGTGTGTGTGTGTGTGTGTGTGTGTGTTGTTGTTGTTGTTGTTGTTGTTGTTGTTGTTGTTGTTGTTGT